ATATTGAGGTTTAGTGAAACAACTCAGTGCTTGAAATGTATAGCAGTTTTTTTTCTTTACAGGAAAAGAGGAATCCGAGAGGCAGTGCTGAGCAGTGAGCATGTCAAAAATAATGCACAGTAGTGCAACTCCCTATCTTGTAGAGAGACGAGGGGGAGGGAAAAAGCAGGGTTTTTTTCGGTGTCAGAGGCAGCTAATACTGTCAAAGGCCAAATAGGCAGGCTAGCAGGTGCACCCATGGACCTATACAATAACTGCCCGTGCACATTTGTGAGTCAAATAATCAAATGCTTAATTTCGTCTTTTCATTCTGGCAGAGGATATATAGAGTCTTTAGCGGCTGATTGTCCAAACGCAATTCTTGAGTAAACTCATATTCAACCCCAAGAATTGTGTATGGACATCTGTTGCTGCAGACTCACATTCGTCACTGCTGTCTTTGGCCAAGCGCCACATCCGAAATTGTGGGCCTCTAGAAAAAAAACACCCCAAACCCCACAAAGACACCAGTAGAAATGGCTTAAATCTCGTTTTGTTTTGTATCTGTCTCGTTTCAGGTAAGGGAAAAACCACATTTATGCATGATATGTAGAAAAAGTCGCGAGACTGGGATAATAAAGTGGAGGAAACCGCATTCTGCCTCATGTAATGTGTTTTTCGGGCTGTGTGCTGTGGTTGGCCCGATTGGTATTTACACTTTGTCGAAGATCTAATCAAGACTGTTTGTTTTAAATGGCAAATATCGACTGGAAGCATCAATGTATTGACTGTCTTTGGCAAATAGGAGAAAGCAGTAAGTTGAGAGCTCAGAGAGTGAGGCCTGTATGCAGCATGCACGCTGTGGATGAGACGAGCCATTGCTAAAAAACCATCGGGTACATTAAGCAGTGAACGGGTTTAATAGACAGACTTTAAGGTTTAACGTTTTCGTTTACTATATAAACTACACGTAATGGAAAATAGCAACAACAATTCCTAAAAATTTATTAATAAACTGAAAACACATCTACAGCACATTATCTCTAAGTAGGGCTCAGCAGACTAAACTCAAGTATCTATTGCTTCCACCACAAGATTCTACGTTGTTTATTTATGTCAAGGTGTAGTAGTATTATATATAAAAAAAATATATAGAAAACAAAGAAAAGCAGGGCTTGATGGTGTCAAATATCTGGAGCCAAACAGCGTCATTCATAAATCACGTGGGGCACTTCTTGGCCCATTGGATGCTTCGACGTTATTGTTTTGTTCATAAAGAATAAAACTATACCCACTTCAAAAATAATGCGATTATTTTACTGAACTATCCATAGGTTTTTTTTTTAAATTCATAAATATTTACAAAAATGAATTTATAACTTTAACATTTTCGAGCAATACAACCTAGAAACTGTTTAATTCTACATTTGTCAAAAATCATGGAAAATTGCTCATAATTTAATTTCAAAATATGAGCATTTTTTCCTCTCTCTCCATCTCTTTTGTCTGCCTGTCTTTCACTCACTCCCTCTCTCTTACACACACACACACACACACACACACACACACACACACACACACACACACACACACACACACACACACACACAGTATTGTTGAACATTAAAGACTAACCTCACTTAATTCCAGGGGATTAGTGCATCATGTTTGCTCTTATATAAACGCTTCTGTGTCCAACGCAGGGGACATACAGAGGACAAGTATGTTCTCCTGCTTGACATATTGAGAGAGCGTTTTTATTGTAATTTATTACTATCTATTTTACAAAACACTCTAAAATAATCATTTTAAAACAGAGTGGCTGGTGTAATGTCTTCGAACAGTAAACCAGTAACAATTACTCATGTAAAAAAACGAAAAGAAAAAAAACTATTTTATTAGCAATCCATAGACTTAGTGTTTTGCTATTGTGGTGGTAAGCGACTTAGTATTATAACGTGGCGATAGACTCTAATGCCTTCTTTTTATTTTATTTTATTTTTTTAAATTTCGAAGACGATGAAGTAAGTTTTGATTGGCTTAAGTGAAATGCGTATTCCCGCTTTCTCTCTATGGTGTAATCAAAAAATAGAGCAAATTTTGTTTCTTTTTTTTCATCACAATATAAACTTACATGCGATAAAACTACATAGAAAACAAAGTATTAGCTTGACATTTACAAAGCGAAAGAAAAAAGAAAAGCAAGAGGAAAAAATATGGCAAAAATTCGTATATTATTTTCAAAATATAATTTTTTTTAACCATGTTGTCAGGTTGATGTAAAATGAACAATCGCGTAAATAAGGCTTTTATGTTTGTTCGCCATTGTTTACTAAGTAGGTGTTTACCTGAGAAAGAGAGAGAGCTTCAGCTTTTTATTTCCACTGTTATAACCAGAGCTGTGAAGCCAGGTCGACTCTCCCACCGTGCAGCAGCAGCATCTTCCACAGTGAGCTAGTCACTGTGCACACTTACCTATATACAGAAATGTAGGCCCAGGTAGCTCTCCAAACCTCAGGTGTTTTTCACCGGATGCACTCATAATCCACATATCAAAGTAGCTACAAACCAGATTTAACTAACCAGCCAAAGATAACCAGAATTTATCTCCACAACTTTACATATCCTTGATATTTAAAGACAAATGATTTATTCGAGCAACAAGCTCTGTTTGTCTCCTCACATTAAACCCCTGTCTCTCTTTGCACACACACACACATTGCTGAGTACATCATCCTCGGCCAGCACTAGCTGACACAGTGCAACGTTTTCTCCTCTCTAACCCCCTCACAGCCTCATTAGCATTTCCTTTCTGCCGGCCATTATAGGCTAGTTTCCCGTTGCAAATCGGACTCCACAACCGCGAAAAGGTTTTAGGTCGCCCCGGGCGTTCAAGGGAGGGCAGCCCGGAGGCTAGACCTCGACCTCCCGCAGTGGTGCTGTAGTTCACACCCCACCCACCACCTTCACCACACACACACACACACAAACATATATGTTACACGCACACACACCCATCCCCTTCTTATGAATATTCTCCATGAGTTTGGTTATATGAAGGTAAAATCTCTCCCAAGTGTAGTCTAATCAGCCTAAAAATGCGCTGGGAACACATGAGCTGGTCTCAAATCGATCACGTATAAGCTATCATCAGGGATTATCGAAGCGTGATGTAAAACCCTCACTGTGTTAAACATTTGGATAGGCGGCCCCTGTGCGTGATACCACCTTGCAGCCAAAAAATGGACTCCGCTGGAGGAGGGAGATTTTGCAATTGGCAGAAGTAGTAAGACACATTGTGCTTTTGGAATTTTTAACAAAAATTATACAAATAACACAAATAGAAAAAGGTGCGATATTAATTGCCTAAACACACGGTGACTTGATTTATGATACGAGGTCGATCGCTACGGGAAAAAAGGTAATTTCTAGCGATTTATGCGGTATTTGTAAATTTAAAACGACAGCTGTGATAGTGTACAAATTTATATAAAGAACGTCTTCTTTACTTTAGTTTTTTGGTAGCATTTTTCTGTCGTCTAGGTTTAGAACCCCTCACCCCCCAAAAAACAAGCCAAAATAAAATTAAAATTAAAAAAAAAAAAAAATCCTGATAAACTGAATGTTGAAACAGCCGGGGAAAAAGTAGCAGAAAAAATGTGACAGAAACTGTGGTACAAATAGATGTATATATTAAAACGAAGGACAATTTTAAAGACAATGAAATTAAAAATGTAAAAAAAGGAAAAAAAATTAACCTTTTTTTTTTAGACATTTAGGGCAAAACACATTGAGGAAAAACATTTCATAAAAGGTTTACATGAGATTAAAAAAATGCTCTCAGGGGGATACAAATACGTTTTTAGGAAGTAATAGACTTGTCAAATACAAACAAACATGTAACTGACTGTTTGTATATGAACACATTATTGACAGCAACATAACAAATATGTAAGCATATTAAATATCTTTGAGTTGGTTTTAATTGTTTACATATTTATAAACACTTAAAGCACAGTCAGTGTGTAATAAACCATTTATTAAATGTTAATACATTGCTCTGAAACACTAATGGAAGAGGGAGTAACGTGTGTTTTTTTTTTCCTAAAGTGGTGATTTGCAGCTAATTTTTAACCTTCAGGACAGACATGCAGGAAGAGTGTCTGCATGGAGATGAAGGCAGACCCAGTAAGTGTAGATACTGACATTGGTGCCTGGGAGATGGCCAGTGCAACCAGGATTTGTATCGCTTCCCATTACACCAGTCTAACAGTTTCCATCTTTCTATATGAGAATTTCTCCTCATTCCCATAAAACATCATCAATCCTCTCAGTTGTCGCTGGGCAGGTTGACACATCTGCAACATCCAATAGGGTGATGTGATGCTGGGATGTGGTGGTGGTGGGACAGTAAGAAGAGATGATGTTGTGAAAAGGCTGAACTGTTAGGAAACATTTAAAATCCTTGCCTTCTTCTTTTTAAAAAAAAAAAAAAGTTTTTATCCTCCGTGAAGAGTAGAAATAAACACAACGTTGTCTTGGTCTTGTAGTTGATAGTCCAGTTCCCCCTGAGGTGTAGAAAACACACAAAATAACTGAGAATCAAAATATCTGCACAAGTCACTGAAGAAAAAGCTGCGTTTATTAAAATAAATGTATGAATCGCTCCTGTTCCCACTGGGGTCCAATCAATGCCAAACTTTTCATTTACATCCCATCCCGAGTCTTGTAATTGAATCAATTCATTTAAACTGTAGTGTTCAGGCTGTGTGTTCATGTAAATATGAGTTCAGATAAGAGACCCCAAGGACAATCTTTCCCCGCAGCTTCTTCCTGATTATATGAAACATTAACACACTGAAAAAATAAAAACAAAACAAACAACCAAACAAGTCAACTTTCCACATCCCCCATCTTTTTTTTGCATTTTTAGTTTTGAAGATACAAGCATATGTAATCTCAAATAATTTGAAATTAAATGCAGTGAAATTCACGAGAAACAAT